CGCGAGGCGGGGAGGCCGCGAGGCGGGGAGGCCGCGGCCGTGGCGCCGTAGGACAGCAGGCGCCCGGGCGCGGCCGCGTGGCCTCTGCAGCCAGGCCTGACCCCCCCCCCAGGGACAAGGCCAAGGAGCTCTGGGACACCCTGTACAAGCTGGAGACCGACAAGTTCGAGTACGGGGAGAAGCTGAAGCGCCAGCGCTACGACGTGAGTGCCGCTGCCGCCCTGTGCCGCCACCCGCCACCCATCACCCACCGCCCGCCACCCTGCGCCACCACCCTGCGCTGCCGCCCGCCACCCGCCCGGCCGAGGAGCCTGCGTGGCCGACCCTGCTGTCCCCAATGTCCTCAGTGTCCCCACTGTCCCCACTATTCCCACTGTCCCCAGTGTCCCCAATGTACCACTGTCCCCACTGTCCCCATTTCCCCCACTGTCCCCACTATTCCCACTGTCCCCAATGTCCCCACTGTCCCCACTGTCCGCACTATTCCCACTATTCCCACTGTCCCCAATGTCCCCACTGTCCCCACTGTCCCCATTGCCCCCACTGTCCCCACTATTCCCACTGTTCCCAGTGTCCCCACTGTCCCCATTGCCCCCACTATTCCCACTGTCCCCAATGTCCCCACTGTCCCCATTGCCCCCACTGTCCCCACTATTCCCACTGTTCCCAGTGTCCCCACTGTCCCCATTGCCCCCACTATTCCCACTATTCCCACTGTCCCCAATGTCCCCACTGTCCCCACTGTTCCCACTATTCCCACTGTTCCCAGTGTCCCCACTGTCCCCACTGTCCCCAATGTCCCCACTGTCCCCATTGCCCCCACTATTCCCACTATTCCCACTGTCCCCAATGTCCCCACTGTCCCCACTGTTCCCACTATTCCCACTGTTCCCAGTGTCCCCACTGTCCCCACTGTCCCCAATGTCCCCACTGTCCCCACTATTCCCACTGTTCCCAGTGTCCCCACTGTCCCCACTATCCCCACTGTTCCCACTGTCCCCACTATCCCCACTGTCCCCACTGTCCCCATTGCCCCCACTGTCCCCAGCGTCCCCATTGTCCCCACTATTCCCACTATTCCCACTGTCCCCAGTGTCCCCACTATTCCCACTATTCCCACTGTCCCCACTGTCCCCACTATTCCCACTATTCCCACTGTCCCCACTGTCCCCACTATTCCCACTATTCCCACTGTCCCCACTGTCCCCACTGTCCCCACTATTCCCACTATTCCCACTGTCCCCACTGTCCCCAGCATCCCCACTGTCCCCACTATTCCCACTATTCCCACTGTCCCCACTGTTCCCACTGTCCCCACTGTTCCCACTGTCCCCAGCGTCCCCACTCTCCCCACTATTCCCACTATTCCCACTGTCCCCACTGTCCCCACTATTCCCACTATTCCCACTGTCCCCACTATTCCCACTATTCCCACTGTCCCCACTGTCCCCACTGTTCCCACTGTCCCCAATGTACCACTGTCCCCACTGTTCCCACTGTCCCCACTGTTTCCACTATTCCCACTGTCCCCACTGTTCCCACTGTCCCCACTATCCCCACTGTTCCCACTGTCCCCACTGTTCCCACTGTCCCCAATGTACCACTGTCCCCACTATTCCCTCTGTCCCTACTGTTTCCACTATTCCCACTGTTCCCACTATCCCCACTGTCCCCACTATCCCCACTATCCCCACTATTCCCACTGTCCCCATTGCCCCCACTGTCCCCAGCGTCCCCACTGCCCCCACTATTCCCACTATTCCCACTGTCCCCACTATTCCCACTGTCCCCACTATTCCCACTGTCCCCATTGCCAGCGTCCCCACTATTCCCACTATTCCCACTGCCCCCACTATTCCCACTATTCCCACTGTCCCCACTATTCCCACTGTCCCCATTGCCCCCACTGTCCCCAGCGTCCCCACTGCCCCCACTATTCCCACTATTCCCACTGTCCTCACTATTCCCACTGTCTCCACTGTTCCCAGTGTCCCCAGTGTCCCCAATGTCCCCAGTGTCCCCAATGTCCCTACTGTCCTCACTGTCCCCAGTGTCCCCAATGTCCCCAGTGTCCCCACCATCTGCAGTGTCCCCACTGTCCCCACTGTCCCCGCTGTGGCCCCTGTCCTGGGGGGGCCTGTCCCCTGCCCTGCAGTGGGGCAGGCGGGAGGGAGTGGGGCTGAGCGGCCTCAGGGCCCATTCCCAGACCCTGGGCTTCCAGAAGCCCCCTGGGGCCGAGCTCGCCTCTGGGCACCGAGTCCCTCTGGTGCGGGCGCGTCCCTCCCTCGCTGCCTCTGCCACTGAGTGTCTCTTCCCCAGCGCCCCAAGGGGGCCACGCCCTCCTCCACCCTCTGGGGAGGGGCCGGCCCCAGGGTGGCCTGGGGCTCCGGAAGGGGAGAAGCTCTCATGGTGGGTGCCCTGGGGGCAGGGCTGGGGCCAGGGAGGTTCTGACGGAGGTGAAGGTGCACTCCGGTCAGACACAGACACCTCAGCCCCTCCCACGGGCACATCCCGGCTCCTCAGGTGCCCCGGGGCAAGCCACCATCTGTGTGTGCCTCGGTTTCCTCACCTCTAGCAGGGGCAGGACGTGCTCCCCCGTCCCAGGAGGAGATGCCCTTGCAGGCCGGCATGGCCCAGGCACTGGAGACAGGGCTGTCCTGGAGGGGCTGGCCCAGGCGAGCCAGGGACCCGCCACCTCCAGGTGCACCAGGTCCACATCCGTCCCAGGGGCTCAGAGAGCCTGGAGGGCCACGGCCAGGCCAGCCCGGGGCCCGGTGGGGCCTTGAGGCCACCTGCCCATCCAGCCATATAACCGTCTCGGTCTCTCTAGATCATGAATGTCCGGGCCAGGGTGCAGATGCTGGCCAAGTTGTAAGTAGCGGAGCCCCGTGGCCAGGCTCATGTGTGCGGTGCACGGCCAGCCTCTCGCATGGCAAGACCGGGTGGCCCAGGATGCGGGCGGCAGGGGGCCCGGAGCCTCCTTCCCGCCCCTCCTCCCTCGGCCTGTGGCCTGGTGGCTCCTGAGCCGCCCCCGTTGGCAGGCTCTAGCCAGGCTCCACCGCTAGCCAGGCACAGCGGCAGGGCCGCCACCATGAGGCCTCGAGCGCTCCGTGGCCAGGAGGGAGCTGGGGGCTGGGAAGGAGGGGCCCACGGGCCTCGCCCACTGGCCACGGAAGGCCCCCCGCCCTGCACCCCAGGTGGGCTGGAAGGTAAGTGGCCGGCTCCGGAGCTGCGTGTGTGGGAGCCCAGGCCAGGCCAGCGCAGGCGGCCAGAGCGAGTCCGAGCCACGTGCCCGAGGGCCACGGAACCAGGACACAGTAAGGGAGCCCAGCACCCCTCGGGGCCACAGGAGGCCTGGGGCACCACGCCGCGGTGAAGCAGGGCGCCCGGCCCGCCCGCGCCCCCCGCCCCGGCGCCGCAGTGAGTGGGCTGTGTCCTTTCAGATCACCAACCTCAGGAGCCGCATCGACCAGGCCCAGAAGCAGTGAGTAGCCCCGCGCCCGCCCGGCGTTCCCACCAGGCGGGCGGCGGTCCGGCCCAGCATGCGCAGGGCCCACAGCCCCGCTCACCACAGGCGGCCGGCGCAGGAGGAGGGAGCCGGGCGGGGCTCCGTCCACACTGGCAGCAGGGAGCGGCCCGGCCCGGCCAGCCTGGCTGTCCCACGGCCACGCACCCTCGCAGGCGACCAGGCTGGGCCCTGTCACCAGCCCTCCGTGACGCTTAGCAAAAACACCGATCACTCACGGTGGCGACCCCTCTGCTCGTGACATTCTGTCTCCACGGTCGGTGGGGCCTCCAGGCCAGCTGCCCACCCCCGGGGGCCTGTCCCCAGTGCCCAAGGTGACCTCGTGCTGGCGCCCACCCCGCGCAGCCAGTTCACTTGCCCCAGGACCCTGCGTTCCGGGGCTCCTGGGAGTTGCAGCGTTTCCGTGATTCCCTCCCTCCTCCTGGGAGCCGGCTTGCTTGCGTCCCGGGTGGGCTCCTCCTCAAGGAAGGGCGGCTGGGGGGGCAACCACACGCCCCCCCCACCCCTGGGGTGAGGTCCTGGCTCATCGCAGGCCCCTTGGAAAGTGCGAGGAGCAGCGGCGTGTGCATGTGCACGTGTGTGCATGTGTGTGCGTGTGCATGCCTGTGAGGTGCTCAGGAACAGGTGTAAGGGCATAGCCTTCACCAGCCAGGGGGCTGCAGGGAGCATGGGGGGCTGGGCAGGAGGGTGCGCCCGGGGTGTAGGGGGGCCGGCTCGCATGGCAGCCCCTCCCGACACGCTAACCGCCCGGGCCGTGGCCAGGCCGGCACAGGTGAGTCTGCTGTGCTGGGCTGGAGCTGGGCGTGTGCCGGGGAGTCGGGGGTGGGGGGCCCCGTCCCCTCCAGCGGCCAGGTGGGCACAGCGGTCGGGCTGGGGGCTGCCCTGCGCGGCCCGGCTGGACGCTCACGCGCGATCCGCTTCCCGTCTGCAGCAGCAAGAAGGCCGGAACCCCGGCCAAAGGCAAGGTCGGCGGGCGCTGGAAGTAAGGGCGCCGAAGAGGCCCCCCAAGGCAGAGACCCTGGGCCCTCACTCCCGCCCAGGCCCCCGCGCGGAGCTCCTCGACCCCCAGCCCCCGTGCCGAGGCCCCTGCTGTGGCTCCGTGACAATCCTGGGGGCCAAGGGGCCGCCCCGGAGCACCCCCTGCACCTCTGTCCTCGCTGTCCCTGTCCCCCGGGGTCTGTGAATAAAGCCGCAGGCTCCCCTCCGCCCACGTGTGCTCGCTCGTGAACGGCGCTCTCGGGGGGCTGCTGCCGCAGTGGGGGGGCTGCCCGCGGGCAGAAGCGTCCTGGGGGGGGCCGGCTCCGGGGCCAGCCCAGGAGAGGACTGGCCACACATGTCACCTGCCACTACGGCCATGCGGACGGCGCCACACGCAGGGGGCCCAGACGCCCACGCACACTCGCCCGGGGCTCTCCCCCCAGAGGGCCGCTGTGCCCCTCAGCCCACGTGCCCTGCGCTCTACGGTTCAGGGGGGCAGGCGCCGAGCGAGGGCCCCTCCCCCCGCGCGGGCTGCACCCCAAGCTCTCTGCGAGGAGCCTCGGAGTCGCGGGCCGAGGAGAGTGGGCAGCGAGTTTCCCGTAGACGGCCACCGGCAGGCACAGACGGCTTCTCTGCAGCGCGGAGAGCACGGGGCGCAGCCGTGTGGCGGATGCCCGCGCCCGGCCCCATCAGAGTCACGGAAAACACACACCACAGAGATCGGGTCAAGGTGGCTCACGCCTGTAATCCTAGCTCTCTGGGAGGCGGAGGCGGGAGGATTGCTCAAGGTCAGGAGTTCGAAACCAGTCTGAGCAAGAGCGAGACCCCGTCTCTACCATAAATAGAAAGGAATTAATTGGCCAACTAATATATATAGAAAAAATTAGCCGGGCATGGTGGTGCATGCCTGTAGTCCCAGCTACTCGGGAGGCTGAGGCAGGAGGATTGCTTAAGCCCAAGAGTTTGAGGTTGCTGTGAGCGAGGCTGATGCCACAGCACTCACTCTAGCCTGGGCAACAAAGCGAGACTCTCTCTCAAAAAAAAAAAGAAATCGGGTCAAGACACAGAGCCTGCACGGCGGAGCCTTCACGGGGCAGGGCGGGTGGTCATGCCTGGGAGGCCGGGGTGGGGGCGGGCGGGGGCTGGGGCAGCCAGGTGGGCTGGCTGAGCCCCGAGGACACGGTGGGACACCCAGACAGCACACTCACATGGCGTGTTCTCCGCACGCACCCCGACAGCCCTCTCACGAATGTGACTTGTACCTGTGTGGGCACGCTCCTGGCACACACGCGTGACCACAGACAGGCCCTCTTTCCTGCAGACGTGACGCGCACACCCCCCCACGCCCAGCAGCCCCGGCTCCCCCAGACACACGGCAACACCCGCGACCACGCGCACGCACCCCCCGCGCCCCACAGCGGGTGCACACGGCAGGTTTAGGCGCACCGTGCTCCGGTCATGTGGAGCCCATCCGCCCGGCGTCGCCAGCCTGGCGCTGGCCCTGCTCTGACAGGCGCCCGCGAGGCACAGGGTGGGCGGGAGGCAGAGGCTGCGCTGGGGGCGGCGACGGGGTTGGGGTCCCCGGTGGCCGGCGATTGGCGACGCATTCACGAGGTCACAGGGGAGGCGTCGTCTCAGGGCAGTGGGGGAGTCCGTGGGTGGAGAGTGAGGCCCAGGCAACCGGCGGACGGGGAGGCCCCAGCACTGGGTGGGAGGATGTGCAAGATTCAGATGGACGCCCCCAGACGCCAGGACACGTGGGAAGGCTGCCACGGCGAGGACCCAGGCGCGCTTAGGGAGGACTGTGCGGCCGCCATCGGCCCCCTGTGGCCCGACAGAGCCCACCTAGAAGGTGGCTCCGTGAGCAGGTGCTCAGAGACGTGCAGACACTCCACGTACCTTGTTTCCCCGAAAATAAGACCTGCCCATAAAATGAGCCCTTGCAGGGTTTCTAAGCATGTGCGCCATAGAAGCCCCACCCCGAAAATAAGCCCTAGTGATGGGCGCGGCTACGCGGCATATCTGGTTTCCCGAAAATAAGACCTGCCCATAAAATAAGCCCTAGCAGGATGTCTAAGCATGTGCGCCATAGAAGCCCTACCCCGAAAATAAGACCTAGTGATGGGCGTGGCTATGAAAATAAGACCTGGTGATGGGCGTGACTATGAAAATAAAGACCTAGTGGTGGGCGTGGCTATGAAAATAAGACCTAGTGGTGGGCGTGGCTATGAAAATAAGACCTAGTGATGGGCGTGGCTACGCAGCCCATCTGCACAACCCGTGCATGTTGTCGCAGAGCGGGAAAGAAGATGGGCAGCCCTTTTCATCTGCCCCGTGAGAGCTCTGTGGCTCAACATGAGAGATCGGGGCCAATGGTTCTAAAGGAAATAGAGTCACAAACATGCCAGGATGTGAATTCGGGGTTTGGAGAGTGATGATGATTTCAGGAGAAGACGTTAACTGTTTGAATAAACGTAGACGTTGTACCGTATTAAAAAAAATAATAACCCCGAAAATATAGCCCTAGGAGTGTCTTCTTGGAGGAAAAATAAAGTAAATATAAGACTGCCTTCATTTTCGGAGAATGATAGCTCTCGGGGCGGAAGATCCCGACGTGGCAGAGCATTGGGCACGGGATGGGAAGAGCACCGGCCGGAGCCCTCCGAGGACACAGAGGGGACAGGGCCTGGCCCGAGTCTTGTGTCAAAAAGGGGGAAGACCCAATCTGGAACAAATTATGTATCTATTTAAGAAGTTATGGAAAAGAACACAACAACAAAACACCTAAAACTAAGAAAAAGAAAGGTGTGAAATAACAATAAGCAAAGGAGTCACCCAACCCAACAAAAACTCATGAGAAGACCGCGCAGGCGAAAATCTCTGGGAAAGGCCGGCCGGGCGCGCGGCACCCGGGAGGGAGAAGGCACGCCGGCGCGGCCGCGGCCCCGCACGGAACGCCTCCGAGATCGAATGGCAGGGAAAGACACTGTAAACAACCTAGGAAAATATACTCGATAAACTGGAAAAAACGGCCCATTCAGGAGAGCTAACCACGGAGCTGGTCTTGGAAGGCGCGACCGCATGAATAGCCGGATACCGCTGAACCTCCACCCGCGCCAGCACCCCCGCACACAACCCAGAGGCGCCGCGAATCGTCAAGCACGTTTGACAATGGTCTTTCTTTGGACGTGAGACCGTTCTCCCCCAGCAGGCTTAGGGTGCAGGGACCCGCGTGCACAACACACAAAGGTTGCAGACCGCACGGAACAGGGAACACGCTTGACGTGCGGCGGTTGGCTCGTGCCGCGACGTCGTCCTTCATGCTCCAGGGTGGTCGGGAGGACGTCAGCCAATGGCCGAGCCCACCCAGAGCTGCAGGGACAAAACTTGCGGCCAAGGAAGGCTATACCGGCTCCCCAGCCCGTGCACGCCGTGTTCCACGGAAGTCCCAAACACACGTGACCGCACATCCACGAAGGTGTGTGGAGACACGCAAGAAGCAAATCCCCAGTCGAACCTCCACCTGAGCGGAGTCACGGGAACCCCAGGAAACTTGCGTTGCCACCGTGTTCCCAGGGTGCGGCGGGAAACAGAATGTCCGGGGCCGCCGGCTGGTTGCTGAGCAGGCAGACGCCATCGGGACCCTCAAGCGGCGCCAGATGCGGCCAGGGTGTCTTTGGGGTGGACGGAGACGGGGGTCTCAGCTCCGCGCCACATGCACTCGCAGCCGGCCGACGCAGAGCCCAGTGGGGTGGAGCCGGGTCGGGGTTCTTGCTGATTGAACTTGAAAGTCTAGGCAGGAGGGGTGACCAGACGTCCCCCGTGGGCAGTGGAGGATGCCAAGGGGGGCTCTCGCCATGCCAAGTAGCCGGGGTGCGCTGAAACAACTGTGCCGGGAAGGGTGCAGTGGCCCGGCGAAGTCTCCCGAGGCTGAATTCTAGCGAGCGGAGAAACTGTCGAGAGAAGATGGAAATCGGCGGGGGCGCGGTGGCTCACGCCTGTAATCCCAGCACTCTGGGAGGCTGAGGCGGGCAGATTGCTCGAGGTCAGGAGTTCGAGACCAGCCTGAGCAAGAGCGAGACCCGTCTCTACTATAAATGAAATAAATTATTGGCCAACTAATATATATAGAAAAAATTAGCCAGGCATGGTGGTTCATCTGTAGTCCCAGTTACTCGGAGGGCTGAGGCAGGAGGATCGCTTGAGCCCAATAGTCTGAGGTTGCTGTGAGCTAGGCTGACGCCACGGCACTCACTCTAGCCTGGACAACAGAGTGAGACTCTGTCTCAATAAATAAATAAAAGACAGATGCAATATCTTATCAATGTTAATTCTTCCTAAATCGATCTATGAATCCAGGGCAATTCAACCCCGTTCCCACGGGGCTTCACAGAGAAACAGACAGACTGGCTCAGAGGTTGTCACCGGAGGGAGGCGTGTGCAGCGAGGGTGTGCAGGGCAGACGGAGGTTGGGGTCCTCCCGACGCATCTGAGCTGGGGGTGCTGGCTCCCTGGCTGCGGTGGCAGCACAGGCCGGAGGGAGAAGGGGCCCCGCACACCCGGGGGCCTCGGCATTGGGGCCACCAGTGCCGGAAGAGACGGCGCCCGGACAGCCGCGTGTTCGCAGAGAACACGCCGGAGGCAGGTGCTGCCCCGCCTCAGGCCGCCCCTGGAAGAGCCGGTCCCGGCCGCTTGAAGACCGCACAGGACAGAGACATTCCACCCCGGGGAAACAAGACAAAATAAAACACAACGGGGCAGAGTGTCAGAAAGCTCTCCCAAGCAGGGAAAGTCCCTAAACCAGACGTAACCACAGAGCGCAGAGCTCGGGATCCACACGGCCGACAGGAAGCAGCGAGGGTTTGGAGAGCGGGCGTCTCTGCGTCAGAGCAGTGGCGGCCGCGCGGGAGGGCGAGCCCCCTCTAGGCCCGGGTTTCGCCGACTCGGGGGCCCGTTAGGAAAGAGGCGGAAAACCGGGCGAGGGGGCAGAGGCGGCGCTCGGCGACGGGAACCTCAGTGGCCGGCACCTGCGTGGCAGGCATGCATTCCGTCGGAGCCACACGGAAAGCACACGTCAGATGGCCGAAGTGTGAACATCAGTGGGCGGGGAGGGGAGGAGTCCACTCCTGCAAAAGCACGGAGTCGGAATTGGGAAGGCGTCGCCGGGCAACCACGGGACGAGGAGGCGCAGCGAGGCGAGGTCGCCCACGGACGCCAAAGTGGCCGTGG